AAGCTTTTGTTATCCATATGAGGTAACCTGAACTTTGTCCTTATTTTCAGCCCTTAAAATCACCTCTTTTGCTTCATGCTCTTCACTTCTTACATAAATTTCTGGTCATTCTTGCTCCTATGTGGATCTTGATCACACTCTAATTCCGAAATATTTTGTCATTTTACAAAGCTTATCAAAACCTAATAACTTTTATACAACTCCAGCAATATTCTGACTAATTTTCACCGTTGATCACAGTCTGTTATCTTTCAGGTGAGAGTCTACCAAGGAGAGTGGGTCATCTATTTATTTTCATAGCCTCCCAGATTCTTAACAAACAGACTGCTTACCATGAGTCTGTACGATCAACAGTAAGACTACCCATAACATAGGGGCGTAATTGGGGGTTACAAATATATACGGAATTACTTAAGAGTGACGATAACTTACCAACGTACTTCAAATACCTAACTACATTTTCACTACGTGACAAGCATGTTAGGTGCTAACAGCGGAATATTTACAGATTCCACCTGATTTGCTTTAAATCCACATTACAGATAGATGACTTACCTACACAGGGCGACGGCGGCGCAGACAACTACCACAAGTCAGCTGACACAGCAAGCTGGTACTGACATGCACAGTGTAACGCAGTCGGACGACACGACATGCATCATAGCAAACCTAACTAATTAGCTAAAAACACTGCACTAACCGAAGAGATTAAGTGAGATTACTGTCGAAAATACTCACCTCACATACTATTTAACCAAAATATTGGCCACTAATGTCAGCGACGCCACATTAAGTTTACGTGGAAACATGCTGTTTACAGGCGCTTAAGCCTCACATAAGAAAATGTGTAAATTTGCGTCAGTATAGCCTTGAGAATAAAATCGCTGGAATTGACTAGTCGTTGAAATGTCTGTTCTCCTTACTATGAGAAAAACCCAACTTGTAGACTCAGAGGAAACAAATTTACCTTTCTCACCAACTTGCCCGAATACCTCGTAACTGCTCTCTCTCAAGATAACGCAATCGTTCACCATGCGGAGGAAATTGAATGCTTCTTCGTCTTTAATGGTACTGGTAGAACCTCCTTCCTGTATGTCGAATTTGGACAGTCTAATATAAGTTTTTCAGCGAAGATTTATGAGATAAATAAGCCTTCAAAGATATCTGTTCACTTAACGTTACAGACCATTTTACATCCGATATAGACAGACGGATGTCCCGCTACGTCGCGAATTGACAGAGGCGGAAAAGTGTGGGCCGCTAGGTTATGGATCAGTGGCCTCACGGTGGCGTGCTGACCGTGTAAACTGAAGGTCCTTGGCTCAGCCTCTGAAGAGTGGGATCATGGGCTAGCAACACTGAGGAGTCACGACGAAAAGGCTCTTCAGTGCTGGAGGGTTTCCGGTGGTTTCCAAACTGATGTCAGTCTATGGCAAACTAGCTTGGAGTCCGAATTCAATACGGATTAGTCGTACTGGCCCACGGAGAAGGGAAGATGAAAATCGTGTCATCTCTGTTGACACGAATAAAATCAACATCACCAGTATAAGCAAACTTATGGCCATTACTTCCTGGAGTTAAAATACCTCTAGATATCGTATATCCGTATTTATGCATTATTATTATTACTTGTCCCTTGGGTTCCTAGTGGAACAAACCACTTCAGTTGCACGTCTCCAGTGAATTCTCTTCTCTGAAATCTTTTGAACCTGGCTCCACAATAGCCCACAAGCTCTCATTTCTTCCTCACATGACCCTCTCTATGTTATCCTTGCCTCAGACGCCAAACTCGTCGCTTCCCATCCACGTTCCACTCCAGTGCCTGGCCTGATGCGTAATGTCCCCGATCGGCCTTCTCAGTGTATGACCAATCCATCTCCACTCCCTCCCAGTGCACTTTTGTTCAGCGATAGGTTGTTGCCTCGTTGGTCCGTCACCAGGCCAGAGTTCCTTGTTGCTTATTCTTTCTGGCAATCCATCTGATCTTGAGTAACGAGCCAGTGTAGGCAGTTGTTGATGAATGACTGAAGTCTGTTGAAAATCCCTTCCGTAACGCACCAAGTCTCTGAACCATCACATAGAAGCACTAACTGACTTGAATGAATTGGTGTTGAAAAACCGGGTCTTATTCACGCTTTATGCTGAGTGCTGAAGATCTCCACACTGGTTTCAAGTTAGTGAAGGAAGGCCTGTCTTGCTGTGTTTCCGATCCTGGCTGGCTTTGACGTCTTCGTCTGTGCCGCCCCCTGTAGTTGAAACGATGCTGCCCTGCCTAGATAGGTGGAGGAGGCTACTTCCTCCCAGTTTCTCACGTTGATGGTGATTGCAGCTTCTTGTTGTTGTTGTTGATGATGGTGTTGTTGGCTGGGTACCATCATCACCTCTGTCTTCTCTATATTCACCTGAAGTCCCGTCTCTGCTGGCATGCAATATCTCTTCTGTCAACTTGTTAGTTTTTACCTGTAGATCTTCATGTCTGTGTGACAAGACATCAGACACATGTCATCGACGAAATCCGAGTCTTCCAGGATGTTCTCCCCGGTCCAGCGTATCACCCTCTCTCGCTCCTCACTGTTTGTTGCATGATGCAGTCGAACACAATCAGGAATATCATGGGTGACAGTGGGCGGCCGTTTTCCACTCCCGTCTACACTCCACTTCGAAGGCATCACTGAGTTTCCCATCCTGTTGTGAATCACTTGGCATGTGGCATCTTCATATAGTTGTTGAATGAGGCTGATAAAGGTTTTGGGGTATTCCGTAGTGTTGGATTAGCAACTGCCAAATTACTTCTCGGTCGACGCTGTCGAAGGCCCTTTCAAAGTCGATGAAGTTGAGGTACAGGTACAGTTGACTGCCAGTCTATGCTCTTTTCTATGATGATGCGAAGCGTTGCACTTTGCTCCGTACATGATTTGTACTTCCTGAATCCAGACTGCCTGTTCGGGTTGTAGTTTTGAATCCAGTGCATCGTTTACTCTCTCCAGGATGATGCAGCATAATATTTTGCTTGAGGTGGACAGGAGCGTGATCCCGTGCCAGTTCTTGCAAACACTGAGATCTCTCTTCTTCTATAGTTTGACAAGGTAGCCCTTCTACCTACCACCAGGTACCTCCCCTTCCTTCCAGACCTTCTGCAATAGTGGTGTGAGCATTTCCGCTGTTGTCTCTGCAGCTGCTCTCAGTGCTTCTGGTGGAATTCCTTCTGGTCCTTCTACTTTCCTGAATTTCAGTAGCTTTATGGGGCTCAGGGCTTCGACCTTCGTCGGAGAGCTTGTGTTCACTTGTAGTTCTGCGGTTGCAGCTGGTATTTCTGGACTAAGTGCAGGTAGTCATCGACTCAAGAGCTTTTTGAAGTCGTCAGCCCATCGTTACCTTTGTTTCTCTTCTTTGGTAATTAGATTTCCTTCATCTTCTATTGGTTTCATCTGTGTTGGTCTCCTCCCTCCCAGATAGCAACCTGGTTATTCGATACGATGTTGTCAGGTCTCTCTTACCTCCAGCCTGTTCTGCTTCACTTGCCAGTGTTTCGTGGAAGTGTCTTTTGTCTTTCCACCCACTCCTCTTCACTTCTTTGTCCAGCGTAGTGTTTTATACATTGTGCTCAGTTCCTCTTGTCGTTGAGCATTCTTGCACTGGTTTATCTGCTGCTCCACCATCCTCCTCTCCTCTATCAGCTTCCAGGTATCCGTCGAGATCCATTCCTTATCTTCTTTCTTCTTCCTTCCTAATACGGTTATGCAGGTTTCTTTCCACATCTCTTTCAAAGAGTTCGAGTGTTCTTCCACACAGTTTCTTCAGGGATGTTTCTCTACATATTTCCCACCTTGTCTCGGCGGCTGCGTCGAGATTTCCTTTGTGGTTTCGTGCTTCAGTTTCCGAGTGTTGTACTTGAACTGCGGTCTTTGATATCCTTGATATCTTTTAATTTGATTAGGAAGATTTCCTGCACTAGACAGTGGTCTGAACCTACATCTGCTCCTCTTCTTGGCCTTGTGTCAAGTGGGCTGACTGCGTCTTCATTTTCTTGAGACTGAGATAAAGTCGATCTGATTTTTAGTGTGTCCATCTCGTGAAATCCATGTCGCTTTGTGGACATTGCTTGTGCTTGAACACACTGCCTCCAATCAACAAATCGTTGAATGCACAGAAGTCTGCGAACAATTCTCCATTCTCGTTCATCACCTCAACGAGCGCTTCTCGACCCATGGTTTGTTCTCTTCCTGTGTTTTCCACTCCCAGTTTGGCATTCATGTCGCCCATTAGAATTTTGATATTGCCAACTGAGGTCTTGTCCAGTGTTGATTGCAGTTGTCTGTAGAATACCTCTTTCTTCTCTCGATCTGCATTATTTGCAGGTGTGTAGCATTGTATGATTGTGACCTCCCTTCCTTTTGAGTTGAACCTTGCTGTCATGATCCTGCAGGAGGAGATTGGTTCCCACTGCATGACAGCCTTCAATGCTGTTGAGGACATCATGATAACCACTCCCTCAGTGTGCTGGTGGTTGTCGTCTGGTTGACCGGAGTGAATTATTGATTCTCCAGTTGACAGTTCGGAGAGTCCACTCCCATTCCACCTGCTTTCGCAAATTCCAAGCACTTCAGTGTGATACCTTCTCATCTCGCTTGCAATCTGGGCTACCTTGGTAGGTTCAAACATCGTGCGGACACTTCATGTCCCCACGCTTACCTTTGCCTTCATCGAGGGAAGATATATCGGCCAATTGGCTTCCTGAAGGCTTTCACCAACCGGCGTCATTTCGCCTCTCCGATTCCAGCGAGGAATAGTTTTGTTATCATTTTTTATATTTCGTTTGTGCTTTGAAGTTTCTTTGGCGGTTAGATTTATTTTACGGGGTAGGGTTGCTAGCCCTATGCCCAACCTTCCTTCTTTATCCGGGTTTAAAACTGGCTAGTAACTAGTGAACTAGTTAACCAGGCGAGGTTATCGGTATTTATGAGGTAGCACTTAACCATCCACAAAGTGTTATGGAATCAATGTTGTTAGTGATAGCAGTAAGTGAGTGTGACTTACCACGGTTCACGGTCAAAGTCTTCAAAAAGTAAGACTAGCAGCTCCGGACTGTAGAAACCAACGATAACTTTAACTTATCAGCTAGTCAGTATTATTTTAATGGTTACAGATGTACAACTTCGGTTGAACTTATCGACACATATGGAAAGAATGTCCAGCTATTCATAGTCCTGGCACTAGGCGCTGCTTAGACGTATGTGTGCAGCGGAAATACTTCTCAGACAAGCCCTCAAGTTGAAAGTTGTTTGTTTACTCATGTCACTTTCTACTCTTTCCTTGACTCAGGCAAAGACAAGAGATCGTTTGTCTGCAACATTTGACTTCCTGTGGGGACAAATTTTGTGACTTGAGTATCGCTCATGTGGAAATACACGTTGAACCGCTTCTGATATGCTATTTCTGTTTCCGCCTCTATCAGAGACCAGTACACCGGTAGATCATTTTTGGAAAACGTTTACAGGCAGCCCATCTCCTACCGTTAATCCGTTCTATGTTAGCACTCCTCATGCTTTGCCGTCATCACACCCTTCCGTTTTAAAAACCTTGTCGCCAAGGTTACCTTTAGGATGCACTATTCCCGAATATACTTGCCGTAATTGCGGAACTTCCGAGTTAATTTATATTCAGCAGTAGATATTTTTGTTGCATTTTTGTTTCTCGCCAGTAGTTAGTGATTAAAGTGACTGAATTTTTCTATGGGTCCGTTACACATGCAGAAATTGCCGTGAAACAGATTGAAATGATTGGTTCTGAAGAAGACTCAATCATCTGGCGCTTTGATACCAAAATAAACTAAGTGAACCAAATTTAATGGAATTATCAATCTTTCTGGAGAAATTCATCGTACCTTTCAACTTAGCGGCAAGATTGCCGGCGATAAATGTTCATTGGTTGATGTTCCTGCCCAAAGTTTCTTGGTAGTGGGCATAGAAAGAACCCTCAGTTAGTGCTTGTTCACCAGGTGCTGATTGTGTTTCCAGGCCTGGTAAACACGAGTCGGTTTCTCCCGCTTGGTCGTCCTCAGACTCCCAGACACATGTCAAGACAATACTTAAGCGTTCTTCTAATGTAAGACAAAAGGGAGTGTTGTCCTGGAGCATTGGCTACGCAGTCTGCATGATAACTGTGCACGCTGAGAAAAAATCCGTAAAATGTGAGTTACTTCTGTAACTGCCTGAAGACGGACCAAGGCCGAGGAATGGTACTGACTATGCTAGACCGCGTAAGAGTTACGGCTCCCTTGTAGTCTTTGATACCTATTCTGAATGCTCCAACATTTTCATCACAGGAAGGACTACTTCCATAGAGACCACGTGCTGCCAGGATTGTTTAGTCAGTTTTGCAATGCAGAAGTAATTGCATATGATGATGGTACCCACTTTAATCCCATGAGTTTGAAGACTTCCGCTATGGAACAAACAATAGCTGAATGCCAGCAACTCACCCCCAACCCAACAGTTAAGATGAGCGTTTAGTAGACAAGTTCGAAGGAACTTTATCCAAAACGCAAGGGGAGGTGGACGTCAGAGATATACTCCACAAACTCAGAGTGGCGTACATATTGAAACAAAGCCCACTACTGGTGCATCAGATTGTAGTGCACCTTCCTGGCACCGAAATATAACTGGGGCTAAAATAAGTAGTTTAAATTAACTAAATAAATTTCTAGCCTGCCTCCGGATGCTTGGGGTGTTTTAAGTTTTGTTTTCAAGAAAAATGCACCCAAGCAGGCTTGGACGCCGTTTTGCGCTCTGGTGTGCTGATTACCAAGCACGTACTCCGAGTCCCTAGTTCAGCCTTACAAGCCAGACAAGTTGATTAAACCTTTCCCGCATTCATTATTAGTACGTTTACTTTGATTCAATACATCTTCCCTTCAAATATATTCCACATCAGTTCTTTTGATTAGTGCTTTGTTATCAGTACTTACACGTTAGGTAAAGTACTGGTTAAACAGGTACTAGAGCACATCGAGTTAAGTAGGGTTGATCAAACGTTACGGAATCGTAACATGCACCCATACAAGATATCGCTTTGAGAAGGATTCCTTGGTTGTAACCTTAACTTGGTCTGGACGCTATGCTTCCCAAAACACCAGGGGAAACATAAATATGCGTAGCAAGTCTCAACTTAACGCCAAACACGAGGCCAAGCCTGCATCATTTAAACCAGCCAATGGGGCCTACGTTAAATCTTCTAATCATGCTAAGCCATATACGATGACCCAGGAAATAATTATGGCCATTGAAAACACAGTATATGGCTTTGGTGTGAAAAACTACAAGATTGTCAGACGTGTTCTAAATCCAGGTAGTGTGAAGGAAAAACAAGCGATTCCAAGTCCAGCCAATACTGTGTAACATAATAATTTAATATATTTCGTACTGCATAAACTACATGAAAACAAACCAGTTTACAGGTTTGATCATTTTGGTAATGTGAACTGACTGTTGTGTGCAGCATTAAGTAATACACTGGACACTTATTCATGCAAATGCTTAGCAGACATCAAAGAATAAAACAAGCGCCCACGTAGTTGTTCTACAGATTGAAGCAGCAATTACTCAGCCGTTGTTTGGACCACCGAACATTCTTGGTGGTAGGGCGAGTAGCAAAGCCGTGATCTTGGACCATGTGCATTCTTCACAACTTTATGATGATAACCAGGGACAGCGTTTGTGTTCATCATACTGGGAGGGGGCGGCTGGTCAGTGCTCCCAGGTTTCCACTGTTCCTCCAACTGTCAAGGCATTACTCACACCAACCTAGAAGATATTTTGCTTTTGTATTGATCTGAGTCGTTGTGGAATACATACGGTGGCTTGGCTACATAACGTCGCCCGGTTGCAAGATCAAAAGCTTCACCATTTTAATCTTCAACTCCATGTACAAATATCTCACATGCTTTCGGTGAACAGGTGCACTCGTAACTATGTGATCCTCTGACTGCGGAATCCTTATTCACAGTTTAAATTAAGGGGGTAGCATAAATGCCACTTCTGCATTTCAGAATGCCAGGGATATTTACGAGCAAGTGTCAGTGTTAGTGGCCAATAATACTGCCGATTCATTTCAGAGCCCGAGGTCTTGTTATTGAGGGTTTACATTACTGTGCTAAGCAGAATAAGTAGCCTGAGCATACGGTCATACTCGCTCAAAAAAGTACACCTTTCACCCAACATGGTGTTTAGGACCGCCACTAAAGAAGTTAGTAAGGCCGGCACTATGGGAAGCTATATTTTCTAAAAACTTGACGTCTGCGGAGACTACGTAAATATCATCTCACAAAATCCTTAGATTCAGAACTGCTTTTTGTTTGTGTCGTTTTCTATATTTTGCTCATTTCCTTTGATATATGTGAAGGTAAGAGACTGCTTACCGATAATCGCCAAGCGGATGGAACAACTGACGGGGAGAAAGTAGCCTAGAACGTTAAGGATTGCGAGTATAGGGGTAGACGGAGGTTAAAAAGTCTCTTTTGTATGCAAGCTCTGGATTTTCGGTGCAGATCGTTTGTATTCCATCATCAGAAAGGAGGTGAACAGCCTTTGTCGGGTTCCTTTTCCCATCGCTGTTCACTTCGAAACAGGAAGGCGCCAAGACTGCCCGCATCGTCGACTTGTTCAATTGTTTCCCGGCGCATGGATCTGCCATTCATTTATGACAACCCTGCTAGATAGTATGGGTAAGCATTTTTAACGGAACCCTGCTGAGCAACGGATATATCTTGCTTCTTTGGAAGAGGTAAATTAGTGGGCACACATGAGGATGGTCAGGGGAAAAACTTGTTCCCTTAGGTTTTTAGAAAACAAAAGACAAAAGACACGGACTACAACTAGCGCTGCTGAAAAGAACATTCTTTGTGAAAAGTCTGTACTCTTTCTCTTGAGAGTTTCAGCATCTGAATCACTTCCGAATCCATGGCTCGTTCGCAGCGTCTTTTTTGCGCGGTTGTGAAGTGAACACTGTGATGCCTGAGACTGACGTTACTTGTGTCCAGTAAGCAACGGTTATCCTACTTCGACCAGGATTTTTCCTAGGGGGCTTATTCCTCATCTAAGAAACTAGGGCTGCAAATAAGTTGAATGTGCGTCGAAGGAGACGTAATCAAAGTTTGTTTGTCACTGGTAGACACTGAATTATAGAAGATTATCAGCTCAGTTGTCCATGTAATGTTTCCATGGGTTGACCCTTTTGATGTTCCACCAATCCTCTCGTTCACGTTTGTGTCATTGGAGGGGATTTTAGTTTCACTTTCCGCTTCAGGAGCAAATCCCGTCCCTGGATCTCAGTTGTTCAATTGATCTACTACATTATTCAAGTCACCTCTGATAGCGCATATGATGCAACCCTCATCGACGTGCTATTTTTTCATTTGGAAACAGTTGATTGTGGACTTTATTTGAACATTCTACAGAATAAGCATACGCAAACACTATGTTTGTTTAGATTTAGCGGCACAGTCTACGGGCAAAATGATGAGATTACTTTTTAATCTCCTCAGAACTCGTTACTGAAAGACGATATTGTGACAACTCCGGAAAATTACCTATCAGGCTCCACAGTTGAGGATTTTCAACTGAATAAAAGATATGTTCCTACTAGTTTTGTCGCATGTTAAGGTGGCTTTGACCACTTACCACACATCTTTGGTGTCTGAAGTCTAGCGCTAAGGTCATTTCTTACGGAAATAGTATTTAACTCACGTATATCAATGCGCATGAATACAGTCTACTTTTACGGGCGTGACTCTTGTGATTCAGAGTTATAAGCGCAAAAATACCGATTGTCCTGGTTAAATTTCAACTTAATTTTTGAACAACTTCACGGTCGTCAATGGATAGAGGGATTGTATGTTTAGTCCCCTCGCTTCACGTAATGTCCTCTCAAGGTTAGGCGGCCGCCTCGACTTATGACCTTGTTAGTAAGGGAGCTTGTGGTCTGTTCAGAACTGTCATCTGAATTTTGCATCTCTGGGTGGCAAG